AAGACAAAAATAAAACAAGCTAAAGCTTTTGGATCTTCACTTTTAATCCAGATATCCAGTCAGAATCTTACCATTGGAAAATTAGACCATTTATATTTAGTTAGGCCATTTGCGGGGAGAGAAGTTTGGTGATTCCTGCAATTTTGTTAATATTTTCCTATTTGGTTCAGATATTGTCTTCTTTTGTTTCTCCCATTCATATGGGGGTTTTCTGGTTGGCTGAGTTGTATATGATTGAGTCAAATCTTTCCCATCCTTCTTTACCTATTCCTTTCATGAAATCTACTCTCCTGTCTTCTCATGACTGACTTTATTCCTCCTCTGTAGGGTTCCTTTAAGTAATTTTAGGCAATACCAAATAACACCAAGAAATGCTTTAGTTAGTGCTTATCTATAAATATCTCTTTATCTTTCCATTGATTTTAAAAGTTAACTTTACTGGGTAAGGTAACTTTGATTAGCAGTTAAGTTCTTTCAAGGCTTCAAATATATCATTCCATGATTTTTCTGGTTTTTAGCATTTCCAATATAAATTATATAATTGGAAGTGGGTTAAGTTTATAGTCAGTTCTGAAAATGTCTCCTTTAATTTTCTTAATTACTTCTTCAATTTACTTCAGCTTTTTTATTATTACTTAATTCAATCCTTTTTAAAAATTTTCTTTTATTAAAATCCACTTTTCATATAATATACTTTAATTATGAATTCCCCTCCCCCTACTTCTCCCAGTTCCTCTTCAGCTCCCTGCCCATCCAGACACACACACTTTCTGTTTCCTGTTAGAAAACAAACAGGTGTCTAAGAAATAATAATAAAATAAAATAAAATGCAATAATATAAAAGAAAAGCAAACAAATTGCAATAAGACAAAAAGAGCAAACAAGAAAAAGAGGCAAAGAAAAAGCACAAGAAATGCATATAGACACAGAAACACACATATTTACACACACAGGAATTTCATAAATACACAAAACCAAAATCCACAATACATATATGTATACACACACACACACACACACACACACACACACACACACAGAGAGAGAGAGAGAGAGAGAGAGAGAGAGAGAGAGAGAGAGAGAGAGAGAGA